AAGTAGGATTGCCCAACCTTCCTTCCGAGGAGTGGCATAGTGTAGTGATATCCTTGAGCGATCTTCTGGTATGAAAAACCATATGTCTCTACACTAAGTAACCCAGTGCTTGATTTCAGCTTGCTGATGTTCTGTTTACTTCTCCTTTGATAGCCTATAAACTAGTACTTAAAATAGCAGCATGTTAGAGACCAGATGGACTTTTTAGATCACTTAGTCTATAGAAAAGATATGTCTCTCTCCATATCATAGCAAACTGAATGGTAAAGGCAGGAATAGGGCCCTAGTCTCAATGTAGCACTCAGTGTGTTTGTCTCTAGAAGTTATACTTTTTCTGTGGGCTGCTTCAACTTACTATGGTAGAAAAAAAGAGAAAATAAAACAGTCAGAAATATGTATTGAGTAAGGTTTTTAAGTAAATCTTTGTTACAATTATTTTGGCCCTAGGCCCTTTCACATAATTCTAACTCTGTGTCATGATCCAAAAGATTAAGGATGTTAATGTCTGACTGGGGCTAACTGAGGTATTATTATCAACTTTCCCCATGTTCCAAGCACTTTAATTATAGACAAATGGATTTTCTGAGTATTCCTGCACAGGTTCTTCCCACTTACTATGATATTAATAACCAACTACTTTTTCCAAGTAAATGAGAACATAGGAAAATCATCCCAGTTCATCTCTTTTTCCATGTTTTAATAGATAATGAGAAGAATATACAGCAGAGTTCTATTTTGGTGTCTTCAAACAAATATTCTACACCAGTCTTTTACTCCCTCAGTTTGTGAAATTCCAGAAATGAAATTGAAGAGATCAGGAGCTGAAAATGAGATTATTTCTTCTCCACTTAAAATCTGTCAGTTCAATCATTAAAAATCATTAATTCCAAGTGTCATAAAGAGTAGAGAAATCAGAGGCCTTGACATATATAGTGCAATGAGTTTCTCATATATATGGCCTTGTTGGCCTTGGGTTTATAATTCTGCCAAAAAGGACTAGCTGGGCCACAATCTTACAAAGTATTGGTTTGTATATTATGCAAATAAGGTATGTAAAACCACTAACAGGATTAAGACATCCTTGTGAGAATTTGTCAATTACTATGCATATTAGCAAGGCAACTGGTCAGTTCATAGTCTGGTGGGAGGGCCATGACTTGAAACTGTCAAGTAGGCTTACATAACAGACAACTGTAGAGTGGTTGAGGGGGAACCCACTACTATCAACAAGAGTCTGGAATAGGGTGCATCCATTGGACCCAAGATCCCTGCACTGAAACCCTTCTAGATATAGGAGAAAGAGCTATAACACTGGAGGTACAAAATGAAAAGATATGGTAGCAATCACAGCAGAGACCAGTAGCAGAGAACTGGCAGGAGTGATGTGAGTGGCACGAATCAGGAGACTGGTGAGAAG